ATTTTCTCGTACGAACACTTAAAACTTTTCACTAACACGTATCCCGTTAATTATGTTTTATATGTTATTTCGAGACCCGATCGAATCGCTGAACCCTAGTTTCGTTTAATTTTGAACCTGTCCACGTACCCAGAGGCCCAACGAGACGTTCGGATGCGACGCTAGGTCGCCGAGGACGTTTAAAATCGTCGAGGTGCTAGTCGCGTACCTCGGGTCCAGTTTAAAAGTTATTTTTCTCTATAAGACAATATTAAAACGTTTCGATTTATCGACAGATCGAAGGCGAAGAATACTCGCCGACGTGGTGCTGACGCGCACCGGGGACATCGAAAATTTGACACGATTTCGAGGACCTCCAAGTCGAGCCTCGTAAAACACTAAGCGACCGCACATGGACGGCGGACCGACGCATCGGTGGGTTGATATTATGATGATTTTTCCTTCGAACTATAACAATACAATATATCTTTTAATATAACAAATAAAACATCTTTCAGATTGATCGACCTACGCGTCTACGTGAGAATTACCTACGTTATTCTACGTCTCCGAAAAGAAGAAACCGAACGGAGGGCGTACTACGCACTCCGTCGCAGCGCGGAATGCTAGAACGCGGGGCTCGAGTACTACTAGCATTAGAGTGTGTCAGGCGTGTATGTATGTTTTATGTTTTTAAATTATTATTATTATTATTATAACGACGATTCTTTTTTGACGGAAATTAATAGATTTTTAATGTACACGCGGTGGTCTCGATATGTAGACATATTACGATCATATAAGTGTGTTTATAAAATTACACACATTATTCAATCGTAATACTACTTATCGTACGCAATGAATACAATAATAATATTCTCCATCCATTCCATCCGTCCGTCCGAAGCTCTTTACTTAGTTACAGTAAAATAATGTATAGAGCGTTCGTTTGTCCACAATATAACTATATTATATTATGAGCTTACTATTATAATTTTTTTTTTCTATTATATTATTTATCTATTATATTTAAAATAAAAGTGTTCTTATGCAACGGTCGCAGAGAAAGAATGTGTCCATCATCATCGTCATCGCACACACCACCTCGAAGACACCGCCCCGTCCGCATGCTGCGTGCGTGCGTTCGTTCGTATATCTCCAACTGGTCGTACGACAACGAAAGTCTCGGTGCGTAGGAATATAATGCAGGTATGTATGTATGTATGTGAATATCTTCTATACATAGTATTTACATATATACATAATAAAATTGTAACTAAGTCGAATCTGTACATTAAATATTTTTTTTGGAAAATGTAATTGAAATAGACATTATTATCAATACAATTGGATAGTTTTTACCTAAGAATTTGGTTATTATTATATCCCCCCCTCTCTCGTCAGATTTGTGTAATCGTTTCGATGAATCGTGGTTTATTTATAGCGTAGGTTTTTTTTTTTTTTTTCATTTGTATAATAAATATTTATATGACTAATGATAATTAATGTGAATGCGAGAGACGTCCAATGTAACGTAAGAAACATTATGTAGGACAACAGAAACTTATGCGGCCCTGAAAAGGGCCTTTTTTATTTTTAGAATTGTCGAGCGACGACCGGGTGGGTCGTTCGTTGGTGGTGGTGGTGACCGCCCGCCCGACCGCCGCTGTCGTCTAGCAGTCACACTACTTGCGCTTAACCGCCGAAACCGTACAGAGTGCGGCCCTGACGCTTCAGCGCGTAGACAACGTCCATCGCGGTGACGGTCTTCCTCTTGGCGTGCTCAGTGTAGGTGACGGCGTCGCGGATCACGTTCTCGAGGAACACTTTGAGTACGCCGCGGGTCTCCTCGTATATCAGACCGGATATACGTTTCACGCCGCCTCTGCGCGCCAGACGGCGGATAGCGGGCTTGGTGATACCCTGGATGTTGTCACGGAGCACCTTCCTGTGGCGCTTGGCACCACCTTTTCCCAATCCCTTTCCACCTTTACCGCGACCGGTCATCTTGAGCGACTTCTGTTAGTACAATAATATATCCACACACACACCAACGCACAGCGACAGCCGTAGATACGTCCGAACGGAACAAAACACGTAGCACTTGTGAATTTCGAAATGCGGTTACGTCCCCTTTTATATACTATCGCACCGTGCCCGCGATACGACTCTGCGTCGTCCACGTTCGACAAAGTTCGTCGACGTAGCGGTTAGGGGGAAGAGGTGATGCACATGCTCTTGTTGTTCAAATTAAACGTATATTGTAAAATATTAATTAATAATAATATGCTCGCGTAAATATATCGCGAACAATAATACCTTATAAATAATAATATAATAATAGCTCGTTTTAATATATAGATAATAATAATTTTATATTTATACTGCGTATGTGTTTATCTACAATAATAAAGTCTAGTTCATTTGTTTTAAGTTATCCCCCGTTAAAATTGAGTAAATATGTATGTATGTTATAATATTACTTTTATTTTTCTTATACATACAATATAATAATAATAATAATTCATTTCGACCGCTATCGTAGCGTGTGTACGCGTCGTTAGGACGAACATACACATAATTTCCGTGTAACGAATTTTTGTCATATTCATATTATATAAAACCAATAAAGTAAGTATGTATACGTAACGTTATTCTTTTAATAATAATTATTTATTTATATGAGCACCTATAGATTAGAGAAGAGTAGACCAGTGGCGTGGTCTTGTGTTCATTTATTATGTTGAACGATATTCTGTTCCATTGTGTACATAATGTATGTATGTTTGTATGTATATAAAATGTAATAATATTATAACTAAGACGAACTCTGTGTACACGTATGAAACCAAATTTTAATACAGATTAATTTGTGGCCCTGAAAAGGGCCTTTTTATACAATAATAACAACAACAATTCACCGAACGAACGTTCGCATACATTGGAATTATCATCATTATTATCGCGTTGCGCGTTCGTTTAGGCGCGTTCTCCGCGGATCCTGCGAGCCAGCTGAATGTCCTTGGGCATGATGGTGACACGCTTGGCGTGGATCGCGCACAGATTGGTGTCCTCGAACAGACTGACCAGATAGGCCTCGCTGGCCTCCTGGAGGGCCATCACGGCGGAGCTCTGGAAACGCAAGTCCGTCTTGAAGTCCTGGGCGATCTCGCGCACAAGACGCTGGAACGGCAGCTTGCGGATGAGGAGCTCGGTGCTCTTCTGGTAGCGACGGATCTCACGGAGTGCGACGGTTCCGGGCCTGTATCTGTGCGGCTTCTTGACTCCGCCGGTGGCCGGTGCGCTCTTACGCGCAGCCTTAGTGGCGAGCTGTTTACGGGGCGCCTTGCCACCGGTAGATTTACGGGCAGTCTGCTTTGTACGGGCCATCTCTCACTCGCTGACACTACACGAATAGTTTGAAATCGGTTATCAGTTACGTACGGTACGCACTACACGCTCGTCACGACGGTCGGGGTACGAATACTTATAAAACATGCAGAGATCGCCTCTTTATAGAGCTCTATATATATCTCCGTCTCGTTCTAGGGCGCGAGAATACCGAAATGTTACGAACGAACGAACGAACGAATACGTGCGGATATGTATGTATGTATGATTGTATGTTGTAGAAATAATAATTATACAGTAAGTTAATTATTTAGGAGAGATTTCTTTAGGAAAAGAGAGAAAAAAATAATAATAATAAAATAAAAATCGGAGTCGGGCAGTCGGGCGCGGGCGGGCTCGGTGTGTGTGATAAGATACAGATCAGTGTCTGCCGCCTGTGCGTGAATTTTCGAACGATGTATGCATGCATGCATGCATGTATTTAAAATTGATTGATTGCCGGTTTTTGTATATTACTTAATGTATGTATGAGTTTGGTGATATGTGTGGTGGTTGTGTCGTCGTGTTTTAATGAAATTGTGATTATTAGGTACGGCTATATCTATAATATGTATACACTATATTATTTACTTTATCTTGGAGCGTAACATCCGGTCTATTGTAATGGATGGTTTTCTTTTTGTCTGTCAGTATAGCACGGTCTGTAATTTGTATTTTCGAGAACGGAATTTGGTGTGTATTTGTATAAGAATATAGTGTGTATGTGTCTCTGGGATGAGTTTGTGTTTGATTGCTAATTTTTGGTGTATTATATTTACTTTCGACATTTTTATCATCTGCTATTTATTGTAGGTACTTTAATCATATATATTTTCGTGGAGGGAATGATAATAATATTATGTTTGGGTCATTAGGGGCTAGTGCGTGCGCGCGCGCGGCATTTTAAGTAATTACCTAACGATAATGATTATTCCTAAAATCCCTCTAATAATATTGTTTATCATTGATTCACGTCAACATGTAAACGATCAATGTTTTTGGAATATCATTATTATTATCATCGTCATAATCAATTTCATAACGAACAAAAAGAATAATATATTATATGCCCATTTATGATGAGTCAGGAGAGGGAGAGACGTGTTCGTGAAACTGTACAAAATATGAATCGTTTTGTGGCCCTGAAAAGGGCCTTTTTGTAAAGAAATGATGCGCGCACGTACAATGACGACGACACGACCATTTACTTCGAGCTGGTGTATTTGGTGACCGCTTTGGTGCCTTCGCTGACCGCGTGCTTCGCCAACTCACCGGGGAGCAGGAGCCTCACGGAGGTCTGCACCTCCCTGGACGTGATCGTGGACCTCTTGTTGTAGTGGGCCAGGCGAGACGCCTCGGCGGCGATGCGCTCGAAGATGTCGTTCACGAAAGAGTTCATGATCGACATCGCCTTACTGGAGATACCGGTGTCCGGATGGACCTGCTTGAGCACTTTGTAGATGTAGATGGCGTAGCTCTCCTTCCTCTTGTGCTTCTTCTTTTTCTTATCGGACTTGGAGATGTTCTTTTGGGCCTTGCCCGACTTCTTCGCTGCCTTTCCGCTAGTCTTGGGTGGCATTGTCGATGAGTACGTACGTTCGGTTCGAGGGTGCGAACTGAAATGATGCCTATACTCGATTCTTCTCGCTCGCTACGCCCCATGCGGGGGAGGAGTGGGGAAATGGCTTCAGGGCTATGCCCTCTGGCCATGGTATCACTCGCCGCTCATGACTATGAGCGCGTCCTTGGAGAGGCCTCATTAAGGCCTTTTTCTGGTGTTCTTTGTAATCCGGAAGGTCGGCCTGGTTTTTTGGCGACCGTTAGCCGAGTTAGCAGTTTTTAGCTTCTAGTTGTTAGGCCATCTCTGGGGAGCGCTCTTCTGTCTGGAGGACGAGTGTGCCATGGGGCGATGTCTCGTATGTGTGAATGTGCGGATGCGTCGGCTCTTTCGAACATTCTTTCTGTCTGGCGTCGGATGCATTCGTCCAGGCTCCCGAATCGAAGGTCTCGCGTTATCGTCGAGTTTCTTACGAAGCGGGGAGCTTGGGTTGCACGTCGTAGGGCTTTGTTTAGTAGTCTTTGGAGCCTTTTCTTTGATGCGTCGCTTGTGAGGGCTATCCATGCTGGAGCGGCGTATGTTATGCGCGGCACTATGTATGCCTTGACTAAGTTTATTTTTGTTTTGAGCGGCAGTGTGGAGTCGAAGATGGGGCGGAGTTGACAGAGGGCTGCGTCTGTTTTTGCTGCGGTGTTTTTGACGTGTCGGTACATTGTGAGATTTCTATCTATTGTGACCCCGAGGTATTTGGCGGTCTTTTGCCATTCGGTTTCTTGTCCCTCTAGCTTTAGTTTTGGTATCTTATCGCGATGGTATAGGCCTGTGGCCAGGCTCTGCGTTTTTGCGACGTTCACCTTCATGCGCCATTTGGCGAGCCAATCTGGTAAAAGGTCCAGGGACCTCTGGATCTTGGCGGCTGCGTGTTTGGGTCTGATGGAGCTCGTTATTAAGGCAACGTCGTCGGCATACAGCGCGAGGGAAGTCGATGGATCAAGCGGAATGTCGTCGGTGTATATCGAGTAGAGTGCCGGGGATAAACAGCTTCCCTGCGGCACTCCGGCCTTGATGGCTCTTGGTGTTGAGATTTTTGAGTCCACTCTTACGTGGAAGCTTCTGTTTTTCAAAAAGGATGCGATGACATGGAGAAGTCTTCGAGGGGTGGCGTTGTTGGCCAGCTTGTAAAGCAGGCCTTCGTGCCACACCCGGTCGAAGGCTTTCTCCATGTCTAGAAAGGCGGCTACAGCGCACTCTTTCTTGTTCATGGCCGTCGTCATGTGGTGGATGACCCTTGTAAGCTGTAATGTTGTTGAATGGCCGGAGCGGAAACCAAACTGTTCGGGGCGCGGATTGTTGTGCGCTAGAATAGTTGGAAGTATGAGCTTCTCGAACAGTTTGGAGACGGCTGATAGGAGGGTTATTGGTCGGTATCCTTCTGGTTTTATGGGGTTTTTCCCCGGCTTCGGAAGGAGGAATATCTCTCCTCTCTTCCAGGGCTCGGGGAAATGACCGCTGCGTAATATGGCATTGAAAAGGCGGGTTAGTGCGGCTATTGTGCGCCGAGGCATTTGGCGAAGTGCATTATTCGTGATTCCGTCTGTTCCGGGGGCCTTCTTCTTTGGTAGAGTTTTGATTGCTTTTGTAACCTCTGACGGGGAGAAGAAGAAGGTCTCGTCTTCCTCGTCGAGTGGCGGATTTATCTCCTCGGCGATGCATTCGGCTACGGCACGCTCGTGTTGGTTGTTTCCTGGATCATTTGGAGAGAAAGTTTTCTCTAGATGATCGGCGAAGATCTCTGCTCTGTCTTCTGCTCGATATCTGAGGTTACCGTCCTCGTGAAGCAGAGGTCTTATGGGTTCTTTGTTTCTTGTTAAGTTACGACAGATCCGGTGAATTAGGCTGGGGTTTCCTATGGCTGCATTGATTTTGTTGTCCCAGCTAGTTGCCGCGGTGTCTCTGAGTTCTGCCCGGATGGTTTCTATTAGGTGGTTGAGTTTTGTTTTGAGAGCCGGGTCTCTTGTTTGCTGCCAGTTCCTCCGGGTTTCGCGCTTTTCGTGTATGAGAGCTAAAATGCGGCGAGAGGTGGTTGGCATGCGTCTGGTGTTTGGAGTACTGGTGGTGGCGGCGGATATGGCGTCGCTGATGGCTTTTGTGAGGCTATTTGTGAAGGCGTCGATGTCTTCTGGTTCTGTCAGGGGACTGATTCTGGTAGGCGTGGTGTTTGCGAGTTTCTCGCTGAAAATTTCCCAGTCTATGCGGTGGCGAGGGGGTGGTGGGATTGATCTTGCCACCCAGCCTGAGATGGTAGCGAGGACGGGCATGTGATCTGATCCGAAAGCATCTTGTAATGTCTCCAGCGAGATCTGGGGTATTCCGCGGTGGACTGCGAGGTCGATGATGTCAGGCGCTTGGTTGTGCTGCCATGGGTAGTGTGTGGGGGCTTCTGGTGCGGAGACGTTATACCCGTGGACTTCGGAGACTGTGAGCAGAGTATGGCCTGCCCCATTCGTGGAGCGGGAATGCCAAGCTGTGTTCTTCGCGTTCCAGTCTCCTGCTGCTAGTGAGGGCCCGGGTGGGTCAAACAGCGAACGCACTTCTGTAGGTGATAGGTTTGATTTGGGAGGCTTGTAGATGGCGTATATTCTTGTGTGGTTGCCGGCGAGGGAGACTTCTATTCCTGTCGCTTGAAAGCTTGTTGTGGCTGGAGTAGGTAGTGGCTGGTGGATCAGGCTTCTTCTAGCGAGCACAGCCAGTCCGCGTCGTCTGTTGTCTTGATCCAGACGGTAGATGTAGTAACCGGGGAAGTTTATCTGGTCTGCTGAGATCAGATGAGTTTCGTTGATCAGTGCGATGTCAATGTTTTGATCTCGCAGGAGCCAACGAAGATGCGTCGCTTTGGTTTTTAGGCCGCATGCGTTCCAAAAGATTATTCTGAGATTATCCATGTCTGAATAGTGTGATTATTCCTTGCAGGACCACTTCTGTGGGGTCCTGGCCGTTTCTTATGGTGGCGAGTACGTTCTTTAAGATTTCGATGGCTGCGTCTACGGTTTTCCAATCTTTGTTTGAGTGGTTTGGAACGCCTCGTGTGGAGGCTGTTGTGTCTTGACGGGAGGCTGTGACGGTGTTGAAGTTGAAGGAGGCCGTACTGGTAGCATTGCTTTTTGCTGTTGCGAAATTATAACTTGGTGGCTTGACCTTTGCTAGAGGTGATGGTGCAGGTGTCTGAGCTTGCGTTGTGAATGCAGAGAACACAGGTGTAGCGGCCTGAGTTATGGGGGTGCTTGTTTCACCGTGATTGCTTGTGACGCCGTGGTTAGGTGTGGCGTCTTGCGGAGCCGCGACAGCTTGAAAAGAGAACACTGCGTTTTCAGTGGTAGCTTTCTGAGTGGTTGTATTCTTCTTTTTCTTCTTTTTGCCTCGCAGCTTGCGTCGGGGGCTTAGATGGGGGTTGTTTGCGGCTGCCATCAATGTGGAGCCGTCACTCTCGAGTAAGACCGGAGCCGTAGGAGTGGCTGCCGGTTTTGTTTTCGGTGTGATTGTGGCTGTTATTGCCACGGCACCGGCTTTCTTGTTTCTGATTTCTTTCTTAAACTGTGAACATTTTGCGTAGTTTGCGGGGTGATCGCCGCCGCAGTTTATGCATGTTGGTGGGGCTTCTAAGGGCCGGGGGCATTCCCGGGCGCTGTGTTCTTCTCCGCAGCGTACACAGGCTAGGCGACGATGGCAGCCGTGGCTTGAATGCCTGAAACCCTGGCATCTGTGACACTGTGCGGGGCCTTTCTTAGCTCGCCATGCCTCAATTGTTATTCCTGGCATGAATAGTAGTTCTTTTGTGTTGTATATTCCCGGTAGAAGGTCGGGAGTGTTTGCGAGTATCGCGAGGAAGATGCATCCTGGTCGGCCTTGCCGGGCTTTAATAGGCTTGATGAACTCAGGTTTATAGCCGAGCTCTTCTAAGGCGTATTCTATGTCCGTTGGGTCGGTGTCCATCGGCAGGCCTCTGATGGCTACTTTAATGCTTCTCTCAGATGGTAGCGAATATGAAAACCATGATATGTTTTCATGTTTTTCGAGGTCCGTTAGGTATCTTTGGATCGTTCTGTATTCTTGATCTGTCTCTGGTGTGAATTTCACGCCTCTGCCGAATGGGCGGGCGTTTGGTGAGTGCCCGAGCTTGTCTCTCAGGGCACGGAAGTGCTTTGCCCAGTTTGGTAGCGTTTCTGCTATCAGTGGTGGGTATTTTGATCTCGTGGATGTGGCGGGGGCGGCAGGGGCTGTTGTAGTGGCGGCGGGCGTGGTGGCTGGGGCGTTTGTAGCAGCGGTTTGAGCTCGGAGCGCTCCGGCGAAGGTTTCATGGCTTCGTAATCTCGGGTCGCGAGATGTTGCGTTTATGCTTCCTGACGGGCAGTGTCTTTTTGGTTGATCCGATACATTTTCATTGGAAATGAGTTCGGAGGGGCGGTGACGTCTGATTGAGATGGAGTCTGTATCCATGCTTTCCGGTGCGTGCGGCGCGAGACTGGAGGTTGTGTTCGCGACGACTGTTTGAGGCGTTGTGGCGGTTACGCTCGGTGACGGCGGGGTACCTGAGTACGCTGCCGGGTGGTGAGTCATTGTTTGCGCACCTGTGTGCACCGTAGAGCGATGACTCATTTGAAGCACACCTGCGTGCGCTGTTGAATGGTGACTCATTAGGGGCTGCTTTTCGGGTTTTTCCGATGGTTGTAGTAATTGTGATTGCAACATGCTTGCGGGTGTTGCTAAGTGATGTGGCGTCGACGATATTGCGATTGTTGCTTGGCGTGTTGAGGGCGCGTTTGTTAGCGCTGGCGAAGTTAGGTGTCTTGTAGCCTGTTCCGCGGGGGCATCGCTTTGTCCTGCGATCATAGGCGTTCGTTGGCTTCGTGTGACTTGGCGGGCTGGAGATGTTGTTCTGTCGCCGGATCGGGAGGACACCGAGGTGCCAGCCGGTTCGTTCACAGCATTTCCTCGATGACGTGATCTTGAACGAGTTCTGTCTTGGCCCTGAGAAGGGCCGTTTGTGCCACCCATAAGATTTTATGGGTGGCAGGCAGCTGATGGAAAACTGCCTACACCGTGACCATCGGTTGTTTACAATCGAGATTGTTTAAACCGGGCGGCTAATACTTGGAGGTCCGTACAGTGCTTAGAGGTGTTATCTCTTAGGCGGTTGTAGCTCTCCATCGAAATGATGCCTACCGGTCGCGCGCGGAGTATACATTCTTATTATCGACGCGTAAACGGCCGGAACGCGCACCAGTGTACTTATTATTCGGACCAATAGAAGCGCCCCGAGTTTTATACGGGAGTTGGCCGGGGGGAGAGAGCGGGGGGGGGGGGGCACGGTAGTTCGGTGCTGCCGCCCGTACCCCTCGCACCGTTAATATACATTTCTCAGATATTAGATGTTTTCTATCCTATAAGTTGACCCGAACAATCACCTATATCACCATACCAAATTTCATCAAAATCCATCCCTCCTGTCGTTTTTCCCTGATGCGGGGTCACACACAGACAGACGGATGGACGAAAATTTAAAAAAATATATATATATATTTATATATATTCAGCCTCTGTATCGATAATAATATCTATTAATAAAATTTTACGAAAAATATTTAATGTACAGATTCGGCTTAGTTACAACTATATTATGTGTATAGATTTTTTATAATATTTACATATATTACATTTTATTTACATTATTAGTTTAGGAGATGAGCCGGAATAAACGGACAGATGGACGGACGGACAGACAGACAGACAGACAAAGATTTTAAACAGTTTCATATATGCATTTAAAAAAAAAAAAAAAGAAAAATTTCCGTTATTTTAACATTACACACTCTTCAAATTTGTATATAAAACGCATTAAAAAAAAAAGTATCTTATTGAAAAAAAAAAAAAAGTGTATTATTTTAACATTACCAGCAGACTCACACGACACACATGACACACGACACACACGACACACATGACACACGACACACACGACACACATGACACACGACACACACACGACACACATGAAACACACGACACACACGACACACACGTCACACATGAAACACACGACACACACGACACACACACGACACACACGACACACACGTCACACATGACACACACGACACACACGACACACACGTCACACATGAAACACACGACACACACGACACACACGACACACACGACACACATGAAACACACGACACACATGAAACACATAAAACACACGTCACACATGACACACACGACACACACGTCACACATGACACACACGACACACACGACACACACGACACACATGAAACACACGACACACACGTCACGCATGACACACACGACACACATGAAACACACGACACACACGTCACACACGACACACACGACACACACGACACACACACGACACACACGACACACACGTCACACATGACACACACGACACACACGACACACACGTCACACATGAAACACACGACACACACGACACACACGACACACACGACACACACGACACACATGAAACACACGACACACATGAAACACATAAAACACACGTCACACATGACACACACGACACACACGTCACACATGACACACACGACACACACGACACACACGACACACATGAAACACACGACACACACGTCACGCATGACACACACGACACACATGAAACACACGACACACACGTCACACACGACACACACGACACACACGACACACATGAAACACACGACACACACGACACACACGACACACATAAAACACACGTCACGCATGACACACACGACACACATGAAACACACGACACACACGTCACACACGACACACACGACACACACGACACACATGAAACACACGACACACACGACACACACGACACACACGACACACATAAAACACACGTCACACATGACACACACGACACACATGAAACACACGTCACACACACACACACACACACACACACACAGTGTGTCGTGAAAATATACAAATACGCAAGCTAATTTTTGGCGCCAATTTTAATTTATTATATTATTTTTTTTGGCTGAATAACGTTTCACTCATTCGACCCGGCTGAATAGTGCTGCCACTTGTGTCAATTAATGTTGTAAGGGAGAAAAAAAAAAAAAAAGACCATAACCCAAGCCAATTTTTGGCGCCAATTAGTTGTTACTCAAAATGGAGTTCGTGTGCGTGGTGTGTGTGAAAGTTTTGCCTTCTCTGCGATAAATGTTGGATTTTTTCTTGTAAGTTTTCATTGAATGTATTAAATATTATTAGAATTATTATATTTCTAATAATGTATGTGTAGAATATCTATTATCTAGTTAGAATTATGCGTATACGATGGAAATATGGATGGCGTCGGTGAGGTGTCCCTCTATCTCTCGTGCTTATTTTTCTTATTCTTTTTTTTTTCTTCTTTTCTTTAAATTCTTTAATAATATATTCTAAAAAAATATTATCTACGCATATATTATATTATCGTTTCCAAATCGAAACGTGTTTTATAATAATATTATACCAATTTTTAGTTTTTCAATACTGTCAGTAAGAACATTTATTGTAAATACATTTAGACGTAGTTGTTAATGAAACTGGCTTTGTTCGTAATGTATAGAAATATTTTGTGGCCCTGAAAAGGGCCTTTTTAATTTTCGTAGTACGATGATTCGCGTACGAATGTGATATGATGATATGCTGCGATCCTAGTTACACACGAGACACACTATCGTCGCACCATAGTCACACAACACAAGAGGCTTCTCAGGCTTTCTTCTCTGTCTTCTTGGGGAGGAGGACCGCCTGTATGTTAGGCAGGACACCGCCCTGTGCGATTGTCACGCCGGAGAGCAGCTTGTTCAGCTCCTCGTCGTTGCGTATCGCCAGCTGGAGATGTCTAGGGATGATTCTGGTCTTCTTGTTGTCTCGCGCCGCGTTACCGGCCAACTCTAGGACTTCGGCGGCCAGATACTCCATGACGGCCGCAAGGTACACCGGTGCGCCGGCACCGACGCGCTCGGCGTAATTTCCCTTCCTCAAAAGCCTGTGGATACGTCCCACGGGGAACTGGAGTCCGGCACGGTTCGAACGAGACTTTGCCTTTCCCTTCACTTTGCCACCTTTGCCGCGTCCAGACATGATGATAGGATGGAGAGTAGTTTCGAAAAGTTGTAGGCGTAATAATACACGCGACCAGCGTATAACGTAGTTCTGCACGGTATGCGATATGAAATAGCTAGTTCACGCATTTAAATAGTACATCGCGAGCATCGACAGTAGGTGGGGATGCGAGCGAGTAAGCGATTGAACGAGAGCTAGTACGGAATGGGACGAACTTACACGACACGGTCCGCAAGACGATGAGAGAGTCTACGGGGGCCGAAAGTTATTTGAGATTTTTTATTTATATACAATAATAAATTATGTATATTATATGTCAACCTTAAGGGCCTTATTGACCGGGATATTTATATAATAATTATTTTTATCTTATAATTTAGGCAATAATATTATAATTTAGGCGAAAATAACGCTGTCTGTCCGTCTGTTACCTTTTCACGCTTATATCCGCTGAACCGATTTAGATGATATTTGAATATATATTATTTTTTAAAGTCCTAAAGGTACTTACTTTTCTATACCTATGTATATATTAACTTTAATCATTTAATTTGTGAAGAAAAACAAATAAAAAAAAAAAAAAAAAAAAAAAACAGAAACAACAAACATGGCTATAACTTTAAATGTCGTTTCTTTGTGTTTCAGGTGTTCGTCTGGCCGGGTGTGCGTGTGATGGAGGACGAAGGAAGGAAGAAAGGAAAGAATCGGGATATTGTGGGTGCGCGCGCGATGGCTAGGTGCGCTCTTTTGTGACGTCTCATCGTTTGAAACTTTATTATTATAAAATATATATTATAACGCTGTCAGAAATATTTGTTAGCCCTGAAAAGGGCTTTTTGTCGTGCTGTTATGCACACTGCATTCCGACGCTCCCGACGGCGTAGAGACGTCGCGGTGTCTTGTGTCGCGAGAGATGGCACGCAGCAGATTTTACGAAGCGTGTGTGATGCGAGGATACATTACTTCTTCGAAGCTGCGGCGGCTTTCTTGGCGGCGGGCTTCGACCTGGGCGTCGCGGCGGCGGCGGCCTTCTTCGGTTTGGGGGCTTTAGGTTTCTTGGTCGGCGGCTTGGCGGTCTTCTTCGCCTTGGAGGCGGCTCCCGCCTTCGCCTTGGAGGACGCCGCGGACGCGGAAGCGGCGGCGGCTGCCTTCTTGGCCGCCGCGGAGGCGGCCGCCGGCTTCTTCTTGGCCGCGGCGGCCTTCTTGTCCTTTATGGTAGCCTTCGGTTTCGCCTTCGACGGCGAAGCGGCGGCAGCCTTCTTGCCGCCCCTGGCGCCGGCCGAAGCGGCGGACGCCTTCTTAGATTTAGCACCGGAAGCGGCGCCGCCGGCCGCAGCAGCTGAGGCGGCCTTACCGCCGGCCGCAGACTGCTTGCTCTTGGACGCGGACGATTTAGACTCCAGTTTGAAACTACCCGATGCGCCCTTACCTTTGGTCTGTATGAGGGCGCCGGATTCGACGGCGCTCTTCAGATACTTCCTTATGAACGGCGCCAGTTTCTCGGCGTCCACCTTGTACTGAGCGGCTATATATTTCTTGATCGCTTGCAGGGAGGATCCGCTGCGCTCCTTCAGCTCTTTGATGGCGCTGTTCACCATCTCCGAGGTCTTCGGGTGCGTCGGCTTCGCCTTAGGCTTCTTGGCGGCGGCGCCGCCTGCGGCCGCCGCGGACGCCTTTGGTTTCTTCGCGGGCGTCGCCGGGGCGGGGGCTTCGGATGCGACTGCGGTATCGGCCATTTTTCTTCTTCTGTTTATTATATTTATAGTTGATATAATAATCGTGTACAAAACGCACACAGAGCACACACACACACAAAACTAACTTAACTGCACGCGAGAGTCACGACGAGAACACTGTACTAGTATAGTGATAGCGACGAGCTAGCGAGTATGTAC